TGGCTCTTGAAAAATCAGTCAAAATGCTCAAAAAAACTCTGGCAGTATGGGACTCTGTTCTGAAAATGGCTGCCAGTCAATGAGTTAATGTTTAACGTTCTGAGCCAGCCGGTAAAGTCCCGGCCGACTGTCGATACCTTCTGTTTCCACCTGAATTCGGACTGGTCCAGTTCATTTAATTCATTTTTGAGGTTAACTTCAGCAGGAGGAAGGTACCAAGTGCAGACAGGGGGGTTCAGAGTATGTAATCGCATAAAATTTAGTAAAAGCTATGCATGAGTGTACAGGATTTTAAGGTCTCTTCTGTTAAAAGAAAGATAAAAACTCTTTAACTAAGATCTATCCATCCATTATCCTAACCCCTTATCCCCTAATGGGGTCGGGGGGGTCTGTGTTGTCCTTCATATTCCCGTAGGCAGACTCATGACACTTAGAATATCGTAATCATAAATCGTGGTATAGTCCAGAGTAATCTCACATTTTCATCAAATTGGCAGCTCTATTTTTAAAGGCATTTTAAATTTGCTGATGTTTTAACGCCGGATAACAGTTCATCTGTCCTTTAGTTTGCCCTTAGTTTTACCCCCTGGGGGCAGCTTTGCTTTGGAGGGGGGTTCTAACCTGTTTTCTTCTATTTGGGTGAAGTTGTTTTGGTAGATTTAACCTTCTCTTCGTTAAATCGGTTCTCTCTGATTGAGGTAAAGTCCCAGTCGACCGATCGGTCGATACGTTTTGGGTCGACCTAAATTCTGATTCTCGGTTCATTTCTTGCCGTCGGTGGTTCATTTCTTTTTCAATCAGGAGGAACGTACCAAGTGCTGACGGGGGTGTTCAGAGCGGCCCCGTTTCCCAGGCAACGGACCGGCCCAACACGCCAGACAGGGGGACTGAACCACGTTTACGATTTCTGACCTCCAAAGGTTTGCTTACCACTTGTTTTTATTTTAAAGTTTAATCTACAGCGAGTCCTCCTCGACCAATCAGCTCAGAGACATCAGCAGAATTTACCAAATATAAAAAAAGTTCAACACAGAATTTGCAAACAACAGTTTGCATCAAATCACAGCTCAACTACAAACATGGACATCATCTAAAAACGCTCATATTTCAAGATTTTAGTGTAATAATTGTTTGCTGCTCATCACACTCACACTCCCCCCGATTGGTCTATTTTTAGTTTAAATCTCCAGGTTTCAGTCGATCGAGACTTTCTCGCGTTGTTCACAGACTCATTAGCAGTTGGTGATGTTTGGTTTGTTGTTTAGTTGTGTTGTTGGTCTTGGCTCTCCCTGAAAAGACGGGGCTTTTTCATTTCAAACCACAGAGTGGAAAGAACTGCAAAACAACAAGTAACTAAATAACTAACTAAAGTTCTCATACAGTCTCCGTCTGTTCCCTGAGCTCCTTTCCCCATTTTGACCTGCTTCTGCGAGGCCTCCATCCTGTGCTGGAACTCCATAAACGGCTTTTCCTGCATGTTTTTCCCTCATTACCTTCAGACAAACACTAAGACGTCTGAGGGAAACACCCAGCTCTAAACAGCTTCACATCGGACCGTCCGTCTGGTTCCCACCAAGCCAAAGGCTGGACGTTTAAAAGAGAGCCATTCATGTCTGTATTTATCTAGTTCCCTTTTAGTTTAAACTTTGACTGATAAACATCTTTTGCCTCTGATCCACAAACCTAATACAGGAGACTGTACACTAAAATATGCATTAGAATCCTTTATACAATTCTATTCCATTTAGAAATACTTGATTTATCCCAGAGGGAAATTAAATGATACAACTCCTTTAGTCATTTCAGATTGTGATGGCAAGAAAGATCTTCTGTATCGGCCTATTTTACAACCAATCTGAAGACACCTTACGTTATATTTACAGGAATTACAACATAAAATGAGCTTTATTCATTCAGATAGGAAGGCTGTGAATCTCATTATGCTGGTTTTAGTGTTCAGGGGAGAAATATCAGCACTTCACTGATCTCAACCACACAGCAAACAGACATTTAACTGACACTCCTATTAAGACTGAACATAGATTGGTGTATGTCGCTGTCCAGGATCATTTCCCATAAATCCAGAGAAGAGATCTTGGTCCTAGCACCTGAAAACGAATGGACACTTTCTCCATTGTTCGCCTGTAAAGCTGCAGAGGCTTCCCACCATGAAATGGCAGGCACGGCTCA